ATTATATTCTTTTCCTTGCCTTCGAATCTTTATGTCAGGAACAATTTCAATCTCATCCCTGGGAATACTCAAAGTCTCTGTGGATGAACCAAAGGATTGTCCAAGTCTTGCAGCATATTTCGCAACATTTTTTATCTTCTTAAAGTCACCCATCCATGCTCTTATATCAGCAGCAGTAAGTCCATCTCTTGATGCAAACATCCAAATGGAACCCTCTCTTAGCTGGCTTGACGAGAACGCAAGAAACTCAAACCTTTTGTCTCCAATAACAATGCCGTTGCTAAGTATCCCAAGCATCCTGTCATAAATGGCAGTCTTGCCCGATGCACGCGAAGATAAATCGGCAGGTTGAATTTTATCCCAGTCCTCGTCAACAAAAGAGACACGGAGAAAATTGTCAATATCATCTATATAATGCCGCAACACACGATTGGACTTGTTCACCTCAGGCCCACAGAAATATACTCGTATTGGAGTAACTAGGGCCCTCCGCACATAAACCAATCCATTTTCAAGATTTATAAAAGTAGAAACCGGAGAATACTTGAACTTTTCATACTCCTGAGTGAGCCACTGCACAGGATCATAACAGCACTCGTGCAGGCTGAACATTTTGGCCAAGGCATACTCAATGCAATTAATATCTCTCCACTGTGGATCAACCAAGTGGAAAAAATCGGCATTGAGTAGGGGCCCTGGAAGGCATCCATGCTGCACGAGAGCACAAATCCTAAAAAGCAGCTTGAATGGCAAAACAACTCCTTGTGGAGGATACATGATTGGAACTAAATCCAAATTGCTAGAAAACGGTGAACCTTGCTCTAGAATCAACGGACTTTGAACTTCCAAACAGTGGACCAAATTACTACGAAAATCCGGTAATGTGACACCTGCAGGAATTGTCAAACAAAATCCGGAGGATTGTCCAATCAAATTCTGTGAGAAATCCGTGGTCCTCACCCACCGGTCATTTGGAAATTCCTTAAAGTAGCTATACATGGAGCCAGGTGTTCTCTTAAAGATCCGTGGTGCTGCAAATAACTGAAACAGACAGAACAATGCACATGTATAACTTGTAACTGAATACATGTCTACTCCAACTGCCAGTATCTACTCAAGTTTACACCATTATTTCTTATGTTTTAAAAAAAAAAATGGATTCCATATATAACAAAAGAGAAATTAGATGGAAAAAAGGCATTGGGAACTACTCCGTCTCTATATGTACGGGAGCATAGTACCAAATGGCCCCATTATGTAAAATAACAATATGTTATATTGGGCACCAAACACACAAAACGCATTTCAACCTAGTTTCTAAAATATGAACTTCAACCAAATTTCACGAATTAAATTAAACACAATACGCCAAAACACCAAACCACAACTAGAAAAGAAAAAACATATAAGCAAAAAGTCCACATCGACATTAAAATACAATTAGAAAGTAGCTAAACAGAAATAATAGGATTCGAATTCGAACCTGTATGACAAGGAATTTATCATTTCGGCCACCAGTGGTATACAACACGATCTGCCAGAAGTTCTCATGCGAGAGTTGAAGCTTGTATTCAACTTCACGGTATGACAGGAAAAAGAGTATCTTCTTCAATCCAGATCCAAATTTTATCGAGACATTTTGAGCACTCCATAGCGTGGAGAACCGTTCATTTGATGTCTGGCATCCAAAGCAAAGAGTGATGTCCGACATTTCGTGGAGGTATGATCTAGGCTCCACGATATAGGTCTCCGATTCCCGAGCATTTAGAAAAGAGGAGCCATAGCACAATCCCTCACGCCTGTTGACCAATGCTATGATCTTTTCTGCAGAGTTGTTAGTGGCAAATTGGACTTTAGCATATGCCCTTCCATTGTTTCCCATTTTTACTTCTATCGCATAAACAGAATTTTCCTCCGTGTGCTGCTCAATGAATGCTTTTGCTGTGTTTGCACTTAGGATGTAAGGGAACCCAAAGACCATAATGGTCTTTGTGTTGATCATACTGGCAAATTTCAAGTTCCAATTAAAATATCAAGTGTCAAATACCAATATGAACAACAGCCGCTTCGGAATCCTACAAGGCAGGTGCGGAGTAAGTTAAGAATATAAAACAAAATCAGAAATCAGGTGCATTTCGACAAGCATAGCATAAATGGTGATAAAATTAAGGCAATCCAATGAGAAATTATAAAGCACATTAACTAAGGCAAGAATACAGTTTCAGCAGTGTCCATTATCAATCTGCTGTCTCAATGTGGCAAGCACCCGAACAACTTGAGGAAACAAAATTGATTTCATGGTCACAAGCAATTTAACAAAGCCTAATGCAATCACACAACATTAGAAAAGCCATAGTTTACAGAGAAGTTGCCACCACAGTTCTCCATAAAGTCTTGCTTGAAACTCCAACTCTAGGCCCAACATTCCATATATTCCTCCCATACCAAATTTAACCTTACACTTCCCATTTTTATTGTCCCGAAAGAAACTTCACTTCTCCTTTTTCCTATTCAGAATGAAATGTGTACATTACAACCTTTCTCTCTCCTCTAATTAAATTTCGATCACTCATTTCACTTTTCTTAAACTTCTTGAAATCAAACACCAAAGTTTATTTTACTTTTTTGCACTTTTTGAAATCAAACACCAAAGTTTATTCTGAGGAGGCAGTATAAATCGCCAAGTAACATCCACCTGTGCAAAATTGATGCCATGAAACAGATTTTAAAAGATAAACGTGCAATATATACCCCCATTTCAACACTCATAACCATCAAATTCAGGCGAACATCAAGAATAAAGGCATTATCAGAGCAGAAAACAACAAGAATACGGAAAGGGTTTGCAAGCTTACAAGAAAACGCTACTTCTTTAGCGAGTGTACAACCAGGGAGAAGAATAGTGTAGACTGGGGAAAGAATGTGTGTGAGGAGTGGATTTCGCAGAGAGAATGTTTGAGTCATGGTGAAGCGGAATGAGGTGATGTTCCAGTAATGGTGAAGTGGAATGATGAAGAGTGAAAGAAATGGGTAGTGTGAGAGGTGGGGAATTCGAGATAAAGAAAAGAGAGAGAAGACGGAAAGAAAAGAAGAAAATGGTGAAAGAAAGACCAGAAAGAAAAAAGAGGGAAAAATAAATTGTACTTTTTAAATTGTTTCCATTTCATTTATTAACTATTCTATAAAAATATATTTTTCTATTGTAAAATATACCCCGCATTTTAAATATGCATATTTTTCTATTGTAAAAAAGTATGTATAAGACTCTTTATTATTAATTTCAAAACATTTCACTTTCAAAAAAATAAAAAAAAAACATTTTGCTTTCAAAAACATTATTCTGTTTTTGGTATTTTTATGTTTTAAATTCATGTAGTATTTTTTTGGCATTGTTTTTCTTTTATTTATTATTCATTAAATAACACTTCGATTTAACAAACAATTATTATTGTTATTTTATTCAATATACAATAGTTTTGTATTAAAACTTTTACGAAACACATTTATTAAATAACCATTTTATTTTATATTTATGTATAATCCCTTACTTTCTAACATTAAATAACCATTATTTTTCTTAATTTCTTATGTAAGCTTTCACTTTTTAACTATAAACGACCAATATTTTTATAGACTTTTTACATTTTAACTAATTCAAAAATATTCATTTCTTTATTAAGAAAACAACACATGTTTTGTATATTCACAGTTATATTATGTTAATATTTTAAAAAAATTCTATAAACTTTATCAATCAGAAAACATCATTTTATATCATTTTATTTTTATACTATGCACTATTTAATTTAGTTTATTATTTCTCAAATATATATATATATATATATATATATATATATATATAATTTCAATGAGGTATGAACATTTTTTAATTAAATACTTTATTTCAAAAATTTTATCTTATTGCATTGTTTATTTAATTACTACGTATACTTTTCATCAAAGCACATAAAACAAAGTTAGTTTAATTGAAGGATTACAAGTGACATTATGTGACATATACATTCTCGATGCTTTAGTTAGTCCATTTTCTATTTTAATTTTTATTAATTAAAATCATTTTCATTAGTACTTTATTCAATGACCATTAAATTAGGATAAAGACTAAAAAAATATTTTTGAGTCTTTATTGATATTTGAAAAATAAAATTTTATACAATTTTTAAAAGCAATTGATCATTTCTATTTTACTATTTTTAAATAAAATACTTATAGAATTTTTAGTGCATGAGCATTGGTATTTAAATTATAATAATTTTACGAGTTTGCAGGCCTTCCTTTCTTAGTCTGGAACCTTAAATCCCTTGGGTAGATTTCTTCTTCTAACTCACCATTTAGAAAACATGTCTTTACATCCATTTGGTAAACATCTAAGTTTCGTAAGAATGCGAATGCGATGATTATCCCGATAGAAGGTATCAAAATAGTCATAGCCCTCAAATTGACAATAACCTTTGTATTGACATTACGAACTTTGAGATTTTTTATATTTACGAATTGTAGATTCGAGCTACTTTTGGTTCCACCTTTTATTAATCAATTCATTGAATTAATTAAATAGTGAACATAGCGGGTAAATTTCATGTATGGTACTTAGATTTTTATCTATTTTTCGTTTTGGTACCTAAACTTCTTTTTCTTTCATAAAAATACCTGAACTTTGAGAAACATTTCATGAATGATGCCTAAAGCTGACTTTCAGGTGACCAATAGGTCACTTGAGGCCAAATTACAATTTTATATATTTTAAATTTTTTAAATTCATTCCATTTAATATCTTTTTTCTTCTCCTTTTTCATCTTCTTTCACCCTCTTTTTCCTTCTTCTTCTTCAAAACTCCCCTCACCCCCACCCCCACATCCATCCTCGCGAGACTCAACCGCACCCCCTTCCTCTTCCACTAGTTTTCAGCACGACAGATTTCTTCTCTAGCCCCCTTTTTTGTCAAATTTTTTACTTCTCTTTTAATGATTGTTGTTTCATATTATCTTCGATTTTATCATATCCTTAGACTCCGAGCTATAAAAATATGACATTTGACAAAGTTAAAGCACGACATGTGGCAGAGCTGATGTGCCATTCTTTTAGACAAACCGGTCGGTCAAGCCAGTCGGACCAGTTTTATTATTTTTTTTTGCAATTTTTTTCCTAAAGCATACCACCATGGGATTTTGAACCTAAGATCTCTTAGAGGCTGTTTGGCAACTTCTGTATAGGTAAGTACTGAACCAGTAAGAGGTCTGAACCAGTAAGAGGTCTGAATCATTAAGAGCTAGTATATTGCTTAACTATTCAGAGGCAAATGTCTGATCAATTCAGATAAGAGGTCTTGACCATCAGATTCTGTATAATACATAACCATTCAGAGGCAAATGTCTGAACCATTCAGACATCTGAACCATTTAGAGGCTGAAACTAACAGTTTGAACCATTAAGTGCTGAACCATTCAGACATCTAAACCATTAAGAGGCTGAAACAAACAGCCCCTTAGTCAATTAGATGAGTTCCTTACCATCCAAATTAGAGTGCTATAAGTTTGGCAAAGCTAAAGCGCGACATGTGGGAGAGCTGATGTGTCACTCTTTTAGACAAAGCGGCCGGTCAGACCAGTTGGACCATTTTTTTTTTACAATTTTTTTCCTAAAGCATACCACCATGGGAGTTTGAACCCAAGATCTCTTAGTCAATTAGATGAGTTCCTTCTCATCCAATCTAGAGTGCTTTTTGTTACATTTTCACTTAACCTATAATATTTCATAATTAAATTAGGATTGTATAAAAATTTCTTTTTAGTTATAAAAAATATAATCCTTTAATATAATGGGATAAATACCAAACTAGGACTAAAACATTGAGAATATACCAAAATAGGACTTTCATGTTTTTATTCCCGAAATAAGACTTACATTACCAAACATGGTCATATACATTACCAAAAAAGTATAGTAATTTGCACATGTACATTACCACATTACCACAATGCAAAGTCACATTACCACAGTGCCAAATCCTATTCTGGGAAAAAAAACATGAAAGTCCTATTTTGGTACTTTCTCTATGTTTTAGTCCTATTTAGGATGATTTCTATAATATAATATTTGAGACTCCGTTTGTTAGAAAGTTGTCAAGTGTCAAGCTTATGTGGGTTATATTAAGGTGAGATTGCAAGCTTTTATTGGTTGCTTATGTGGCAAATTTTATTAATGATGAATTAAACTTTCTTTTTATTTTAAAATAGAAATTTAATACTCCTTCCGTTCGGTAATATTCTACCCACTTTTCTTTTTGGTCCATCCGGAAATATTCTTTCCATTTCTTTTTTTAGTATACTTTTTAAGGATAAATATCAATAACATCCTTCTATTTGATCACAAATCAACTTTTTTAGTATTTGTTTAATAATAAAAAGAGATTTAAAAGTTTATAGTATGTGCATTTTTGAAAATTTTGCATTTTTTACTATTCCTTAATAAGCGTGTCAAGTCAAGATAAGAAGAATATTTCCGGGCGGAGGGAGTAATGGTTTTAAAATTTGGAAAAATTTTACGTAAACAGGTTTAGGACAAATAAAGAATTCATTACTTCGTGACATTAGTTGAGGTTTTATATTTTTTTATTTTTAAAAAGCAATTCATTTATTTACTTGTTATGGTTATGTTATAAAAACAAATTTGTGAAAGATAAATATAGTATTGTCCAAAATAAATTATTAAAGGAAAACAATTATATAAAATATAATTTTATGATAAAACTTATTATGATGTAGCAAATAATTAATGAAAATATAAAATTGGTATTATCATTTACCGTTTCTAGACTAGCATTTTTTATGAATCAAATTTTTTACTAAGTGCATACACAAAAAACAAAATTTTTATAATGATATATTTTCATTTAAAAGTATTCTTATAGGAAAGAATCAAATATGTTT